CCTGATACGGCTAGCACTATTAATGACCAAGACAGAGAGGGTTTGGGTACATTATAGAGATTTATAGCACATTGATCAGTTCTAGGGTTTAGTCCGTATAGAAGGCATTAAACCCAGTTAGTGACCTGCAACGTTCCCAACTCCTATCTAGAAAGAACCAGAATAGTTAGTGCTTTTAAAGCAGATGGCAGGGGTATTAGTTTGAAAGCAGACGGCGAGTCGGGTAGATTAAAGAATCGGTTACCTGCAGTGAGCCTGCTCCTGGAAAGACTAGACTGATCCCCAGTTTCCAGTGAGATTCCCCCCTCGGGATTGTCTCTCTGCCCTCGATGTCAAGCAGGCCGTAAGTCCAGGTGATATAGGAAGCGAGCAGGTCCCTCCTTGCAGCCTGCAAGCACAGTACAGACTGCAGACAGGTTACACCTGCTGGTCGATCCCCAGCCGGGGGAGGGGAGCGGAGTTTCAGGCTGGGTGTGACTGTGTTACCTGCCACACTCCAAAATCAGGCTCTACTGGGGCGGAGTGTGCGCACAGGGTGGTTCTAGCCCTTTGTTTGCCGGGGAGTAACTATATTAAAATGCTAATAAGACCTGAATGCCTCTCATACCACTCACATATTTTAAATCTCTCACCTGTTGTGGAAATATTGTGATATAGATGGGGTGACGCTGAGAAGGCATCAATATTACAAAAATAAACTGTGCAAGGTTTTTACTAAACGGGGATTTTACACTTTTTTTATTTTTATGAAGAAAATTATTTTCTTCCTTTTTCATGTAAATAAACCTTGGACCTTCAAGGCACATTCTGAACTCACCTGTGTAAAAGCAGGCACAACGAGGGTGGATTGTTTAATACAGAGCCTTTCTCTAAATAACATGGACCCAGTGTCCTGCTGGAGACTCCCAGGTAGGGGGGTGGCTTGCTGTTCAGGTGGGACACGGTGATTAAATTAACAGTGAAAGACACTCCCACAGACTGTCTGCTTTCAGAGAGTGAGGGTCACTGATCCAAACAGTTAGACAGACCGACTGCTGTCTGTAAAATGAACTCTGGTAACACAGCAGCTCACACTGGAGGGGGCAATTAACCAACCCCCCCAATATCTTTTACACTAAAGGGATACGGACATTACAATGTAACTGCTGTCTGTAGAATACTCAGGGAACACAACAGCTCACACTGGAGGGGGCAATTAACCAACCCCCCCAATATCTTTTACACTAAAGGGATACGGACATTACAATGTAACTGCTGTCTGTAGAATACTCAGGGAACACAGCAGCTCACACTGGGGGGGGGGGCAATTAACCAACCCCCCCAATATATTTTACACTAAAGGGATACGGACATTACAATGTAACTGCTGTCTGTAGAATACTCAGGGAACACAGCAGCTCACACTGGAGGGGGTAATTAACCAAAACGA